GAGTCCCTCCCCAGCATCCCTGTAGGCCCCCTTCAGATACTGGAAGGCTGCTATGAGGTCTCCACGCAGCCTTCTCTTCTCCAGGCTGAACAGCCTCAGCTTTCTCAGCCTATCTTCATATGGGAGGTGCTCCAGTCCCCTGATCATCCTCGTGGCCCTCCTCTGGACTTGTTCCAACAGATCCATGTCCTTTTTATGTTGAGGACACCAGAACTGCACACAATACTCCAAGTGAGGTCTCACAAGAGCAGAATAAAGGGGCAGGATCACCTCCTTCAACCTGCTGGTCACGCTCCTTTTGATGCAGCCCAGGATACGGTTGGCTTTCTGGGCTGCAAGCGCACACTGAAGCCGGCTCATGTTCATTTTCTCATCAACCAGCACCCCCCAGTCCTCTCCTCAGGGCTGCTCTGAATCTCTTCTCTGCCCAGCCTGTAGCTGTGCCTGGGATTGCTCTGACCCAGGTGTAGGACCTTGCACTTGGCATGGTTAAACTTCATGAGGTTGGCATCAGCCCACCTCACAAGCGTGTCAGGGTCCCTCTGGATGGCATTCCTTCCCTCCAGCGTATCAACCGAACCACACAGCTTGGTGTCATCGGCAAACTTGCTGAGGGCACACGCAATCCCACTGTCCATGTCATCGACAAAGATGTTAAATAAGACCGGACTCAACACCGATCCCTGAGGGACACCACTCATTACTGGTCTCCAGCTGGACATCGAGCCATTGACCACAACTCTTTGTGTGCGGCCATCCAGCCAGCTCCTTATCCACTGAGTGGTCCATCTATCAAACTGATGTCTCTCCAATTTAGAGACAAGGATGTCATGTGGGACAGTGTTGAATGTTTTGCGCAAGTCCAAGTAGATTACGTCAGGTGCTCTACCCCTGTCCATCAGTTCTGTAGCCCCCATCATAGACAACCACCAAATTGGTCAGGCAGGATTTGCCCTTAGTGAAGCCATGCTGGCTGTCACCAAGCACCTTGTTGATTTTCATGTGCCTTAGCATGCCTTCCAGGAGAATCTGCTCCAAGATTTTGCCAGGCACAGAGGTGAGACTGACTGGTCTGTAATTCCCTGGGTCATCCACTTTCCCCTTCTTGAAAATGGGGGTTATATTTCCCTTTTTCCAGTCATCGGGAACTTCACCTGACTGCCATGATTTTTCAAACATGATGGACAATGGCTTAGTAAATTCATTTGCCAGCTCCTTCTGGACCCATGATTTTTCAAACATGATGGCCAGTGGCTTAGCAAAATTCATTCTTAGGCTGAGGACGAATCTTAGGGAATCCCATATATTCCTGAAATTGGCAGCATGTTCTCAGCTCATAGATGCAAACAACCTCCCTGGCTCTTGTATGCATTAGGACAATACCTTAGACCTCTTTGCAAATGCACGTGAAAAACTAGAAGCTTGTCTGCACCTCCAGCAGCAATGCTTGGCAGCAGTGCTCAGCTAGCCCTCCCTGTGGACACCCAGACCTTGTTCACATCTGCAGCACGCACTCCCCTGTTCCTCCCAAGTGCACTGCTATAACTTCTCATGCTGCCAGGCAGTGAATCTGGTGTGGGAACCAGGCCAGGTTAAAAACACCTCCACCTGAAGAAAAATAACACTTGGTAAAGAAACTGCAGGTGAAACCTCAGCTTGTGATTCCCTCAGGCTCTTACTGGGGTAGTAGGAAGAACATGCTATTATTGGAGAGGGAGTGTGCAATGACTGGTAATACGAGACAGGGTTAATTTAATACTTAGAAATAAAAGGAGAACATCCAAAGGGATAAAACATAAGCAGGACAGATACATGCCACAAAGTCATGCTGGGTGACGTACCTACAGCATGGATGAGGCCAATCCGCACACCTTCACTGTCGGCACAGGCTGTCCTGGACTCCGGCAGTGCAGAGCGAGGTCCGGGCTGGGTTCCAGCTCTGATTCAGTGGTTTGCTTTGGGGCTTGCAGCCCAGAAGAACGTTAGATCTCTTTGTTACCCAAGGGTTGGTGAAGCTGTGCCCAGAGGGTAGGCCCCATGCACACAGTGGGTGTTACTGTCTGTAAGCAGTATCTGCATTTACCTCAGTGTCTCTTCCACTGCCGAGAAAAGTTACTGTCACAAGTCTGTTTGTTAGCTTGTATGTTCCTACAATGTGCCCTGTTTTGTCCATGAGCTGTTTGGGTGCTGTATATGCCTTTTAACATCTGAATTCAATTCAGCAGCTTTGGAAGGGTGCTTCCTTCCTCACAGAGTCATTGGCTCAACTGAGCAGGCCTAAGATATGCTTTTAGGATTTATTACTTTCCAGTTTTGGAGTCTCCTTGACTTCACCTGCACTGAAGCCACAAATCATTCTCATTGACATGCTTGTGGGTGCCCCTGACATGCACAGTATCAGCCACGATGAGGAAAACCTGCCTGAAGCCATTTTTAGCCTCCAATTCCCCAAAGAGTGCTGCACAGAGATTTCCTGGCCTCAACTAGCATCATTCCCAGCTCTGGATTTCAGGGGCCTTTGCCAGCATCCTGTGCATGAGGCAGCTTGTGGAGCAGACAAGCACTGACATTATGGAGTGATAAGTAGAGCATAAAACCTTGTCAAAACTCAATTCCTGGCTGGACAGGGATGTTACAGTCCCCATTTTTCTTTTCTTGGTTCATCAGCAACACCCACATCAGCACCTGCTTGAACACAGGCCTTGATGAGTGTCGTAGGTTTAAGCCCAGCCTGCAACCCAGAACCATGCAGCTGCTCACTCACTCCCCTCCTTTTCTTCCCGCCAATCCCAGACAGATGGGGAGGAGAATCAAAAGAATGTAACTCCCATAGGTTAAGAACAGTCCAGTAACAAAGGTATATCACAAATCACTACTGCTACCACCAATAATAATAATGATAAGTAAGATAACAAGGGAAGAGAATACAACTGCTCACCACCCACCGACCAATACCCAGCCTGACCCGAGCAGCAATCTAGACATCTGGGTAACTGCCCCCAGTTTATATACTGGGCATGACGTGCTGTGGTATGGAATACCCCTTTGGCTAGTTTGGGTCAGGTGTCCTGTCTCTGCTTCCTCCCGACTTTCCATCTTCCCTGGCAGAGCATGAGACTCAGAAAGTCCTTGGTCAGAGTAAGCATTACTTAGCAACCGATGAAAAACATCAGTGTTATGAATGCTGTTCTCAGGCTGAAAGTCAAAAACACAGCACTGCACCAGATACTACAAAGGAAAAAAATGACTGCTACTGCTGACACTGGGACAATGAGACACTTGACTCCACGATATGCGAGACACCTTCCTTGGCTGGAAGATGCTGGATAGTAGTGAGCCTGTGTCTTTAGCTCACTCTAGCCTACCCTGGGGCTGAGTGATGGTTCTTGGGTGATGATGGCTGTCACCACCTGCGCTGGGGAACTCCAATCTGGAGCCAGTGGATGCGGTAGAAATAGATTCTGGCCCAAACCGTTCCCATCACAGCATGAGGTTGGAGGCAGGAGGAGGTGTGTGCAGACTGGCAAAAAGCAGGGCCTGGGGAGGTGGTTGTGAAGGGACGCTGACACCTGCACAGTCAGCACAACAGCTCTTTCTGCTTCTTTGGACTCTAGGGTCTGCAGTGCTTCTGGTTAAGTCGCATTCCCTTCGGACATGTTGCTCCCTGCTGCTGTTAGACCTTTTGAACAGAATTTCATGAACACCAGAATGTGCTGCTGCCAGCCACTCAGAGTCCAGCAGGGAACTAATTCATTTCTATTTAATACTGGGTGTGATTAAACCAGGTAGAGTGATAGCGGAATAGACTTCACAACTCATTAAAGTTGTAAAGTAGGTATGCTTTATTCAGCTGAAGGCGCACGGGGGATTGTTCTGCCAAAAGGCATGCACGCCTCAGTGCCGTTTTCCTTCTACATTTATCCTGTAAAATGGTACATATGTATTAGGTTGCACAATACACCTATACATATTTATATTCTATTCCCGCTTCATATTATAATGAGCTAAAAGGTTCTCCACGCATGCGCAGTGCCTCCTGGTGGTCTTGGGCAGGGGTCTTCAGATGAAGTAAGTAGTCTTCCTCTTGTGGGTAGGGGTCTTCAAGATGAAGTAAACGAGTCTTCCTCAGGCTTGAACTTTTTACCTCTGGTCCTCACGCATGCTCTTTAGAAGCTGGATGGGTCTGGTCTACGTCCAACTGATTTAATGAGCTATTCTCTTCATTAGGAGGTTCTATCCTGGTACTGCCTGATAAGGCATTTGCTGAGCTTGTCAAACAAGCTATAACTTAAGTACTACCTCCTTGTACAACCCCCCTCTGTACATTTTATCTAACCCCCTTGTACAACCCCCCTGTACACAATAGGCCACATCAGTTTCATAGAGAGTAACTCCCTTCAAACACTGGCTGCGAGGAGGCAGGACGCAACCCCGACCTGCGGACAGCATAAGGTACTGAGCACCCTGCAGGGCGCGGGGTGCCCCCTCCCCGGGTGAGGACAGGCACCCAGAGCCACCCCACATCCATGTCCTTGACAGCGGCACTGGCAGGCCGCAGGAGGCCCGAGAACGGCTGTGAAAGGCTCGCCGCCGCCGCCGCCTTTCAAAGTAACGCCCTGTGAACGCGAGGCCTGCCCGCACCGCGACCTCCCCAAGATGGCGGCTCCTTGAGGCGGTGAGGTGATCACGTGGGGCCAGGAGGTAGGGGGTAGGATCTCGGCGCGTCAGCTGAGCGCGATCACGTGACCGATAATCGGCCCCGCCCCTCTCCCCTGCCCCACTGCGCCGGGCGGGGCTTGCACCGGATCCCGTCGCAGGGCCTTTCCTTAACAGCGCTGGCGCGGAGCCCCGGAGAGGGGCAGGGTCTATTCGCTGCCTGCCCTAGGGCCGGTTCCGGCATCCCAGCTCCTCACCGGCCTCTAGTTCCCGCGGCAGCCACTCGCACCTGAGCAGCGGCCTTGCTCTAGTGGCCGCCCCGTGCCCTACCTCCCCCTCACCCTCCCAACTCCCGCCGGTTCTCGCGGGCGCATTATGCCGTCCAACAAATCCATCTCGGACGCACCCATCGTCCAGTTCACCAACTGCCGCATCCTGCGGAGTCATCAGCTCCAGAGGTGAGAGGGGCCGGAGCGGCGGGGCTTACCCGGCACCTGAGCGCCCGGGGGACCGTTCCCAGCCCCCAGGGCTGCAGCACCCTACGCTGCACCGTCCCCTGCGCCCGGCTTCCGAGGGGGATGAGGCACGTGATGTGCAGCCCCTCTCTGCTTCCCTCATCCCCGCTGCCAGCCCCTCGGCCGTAGCCACCGCGGTGACGGGGTCATCCCAGAGCCCAGACAGAGCTGAGATGCCCATCCTGCCCTGGCAGGCACTGACGAGCCCACGGTGCACCTGGGACTGCTCTGTCCAATGGTGGCCATGGCCACCACCACCTCCGTGTGCTCCACAGGAGCTTGGCCTCTGTGTGATTGCCCCTTCAGGGAGGACCTGTGGGTGCGAGAGGGTAAGATCCTCAACCCGGAAAAACTCTTCTTTGAGGAGAAGGGCTCTGCTGACATCCAGCTGGACTGTAAGGACAGCATCATCGCCCCAGGCTTCATCGACGTCCAGATCAATGGTACAGTGAAGCCATGTGCGTTCACAGAGGGGTGGGGGGTGCCAGATTGGTCCATCCCCATCCTTCAATGGGTACTGCCCCCAACCAAGTTCATTTAGCATGAGGAAGATGTGAGTCACCAAACTAATGGTAAAGAATAATTTTGCTCATGGTTGGTGCTGTCATGAAACTGATCTACTTTGTCTGGGTGGGGGTTTCAGCCCAGCTTTCCTCTTAACCTCATTTTTATGAACACTTTATCCTTCCTGTGCACTGGTAGGATATCCACCCTGCCACGGTGTGGGAGGATAGGGCCGGATTTAACCAGTGGAACACACATTACCTGCAGTAGCTTTTCCCTGAGGGTCTGGAGGGGCTTGTTCTATGGTAGCCTGTGTCAGATCCCCTTTAGGGTGGGGAATCCTCAGATTTAGCTCTGCATCAAAATGAAAAGTTAATGCTTGCAAAACGCTGGGATGCTGTGGGAAAGGCACTTCAGGTGGACAGTGCTGGTTGGATTTGTGCTCGCAGAGCCTTGCAAACATAGGGGAGAAGTGGTGGTGGAGCCCTTCGCTTCTGGTCTGTGCCGTACACATGGAGCAGCTTGCTCCAGTCATGCTGCAGTTTCATATCTGTTTGGCTCATGGTGCAGGAGGCTTTGGGGTGGACTTCTCCCTGGCTACAGATGACTTCAAATCAGGGATTAACATGGTCAGTCAGAAAATCCTCTCCCATGGCGTGACCTCCTTCTGTCCCACCCTGGTGACCTCTCCCCCTGCTGTGTACCACCAGGTAAGTGACTTTCTCCCCTCTCATCCACAGGGGGATTAAGGGCTGAGATTGGTACCAAGAGGTGAGAGATTCAAGGCTGAGCCTACAGGGACTGGGACAGCTACCTTGGGGGGAAAAGTTATTGGCGTGAGGAGCTGGACTCTACTGGATTTCTTGCTTTAGACCTTTAGACCTTTGAGACAGTGATGCCTCCCAGGCCAGCTGTGCACATAAAAGCTTCTAGCTTTTCTCTCTGTGGACTGTGTTTGACTGATGGTTCCAAGTGGTCTAGCTTCAAAGCTCTCTCTGGACCTCATGTGGGTTGTGCTTTGGCAGGCTGGGGTGCTGTGCCTAGGGTGCCATGTCTTACAAACTCTTTTTCTAGGTTCTCCCTCAGATCAGTATGAGAAATGGTGGAGCCCATGGAGCAGGTATCTTGGGTAAGTGGTTTCATCCCTCACTGTCCTCTCTCATTCTACTCTAAGAAGGCAGTTATCTTGTTAAGGGGAAAGAAACTACTGTAGGAACAGCACAGATGGGGGCTGGAGCTCTTTTCATGGGAGGGATGGGTGGTCACAGACCACACCTGGAATATTGTGTTCAGCTCTGGGGGCAGCAACACAAGAGGGATGTGGAGCTGTTGGAGCGAGTCCAGAGGAGGCCACGAAGATACTGCAAGGGCTGGAGCAGCTCTGCTCTGGAGCCAGGCTGAGAGAGCTGGGCTGGTTCAGTCTGGAGACAAGAAGGCTCCAGGGAGACTTGAGAGCAGCTCCAGTGCCTAAAGGGGCTACAAGAAAGCTGGAGAGGGGCTTTGGATAAGGGCCTGTAGGGACAGGACAAGGGGGAATGGAGATTGAGATGAGCTCTTAGGCAGAAGTTCTTCCTGTGAGGCACTGGCACAGGTTGCCCAGAGAAGCTGTGGCTGCCCCATCCCTGGCAGTGTTCAAGGCTAGGTTTGATGGGGCTTGGATCAGTCCGGTCTAGTGGAAGGTGTCCCTGCCCATGGCAGGGGGTTGGAAGTGGATGAGCTTTATGGTCCCTTCCAAACCAAACCAGTCTGGGATTCTGTGATCCACTTTTTCTCTCAACCTGTGCCTGGCCTGTGAATGGTCTGTCATTGTACGTGCTCTGCTTCAGCCCTTTTGTCCCTACGGCTTAATGGCCATGGGGTGGCTGGGCTTGGCTAGCTTCCAGCCCTGCATCTTTCTCTGTGCGGAGCTCAGAGTAACCTGAACTGTGTGTTTTGCTGCAGAATGGCAGGAGCTTGACCGGAGCAGGGTAGACACAGCAGGTTTCCTGGTCCTTGGCAGGGAAAGGAAGGGTCATGGGTTTGTGTTCCTGTTTGGGCAGGGGCCCACCTGGAAGGACCGTTCATCAGCAAGGAGAAGAAAGGGGCGCACCCAGAGCACTGCCTCCGCACCTTCGAGGCAGGTGCCTTCCAAGACCTCCTGGCCACCTACGGGTCCCTGGACTGTGTCCGGATTGTCACCCTCGCCCCAGAGATGAAGAGGAGCAGTGAGGTGATCCGGGAGCTCACCAAGAGGGGCATCTGTGTCTCACTGGGTAAGAGCTAGGGGAGAGGAGGCTTGCGGGGGGGTTCTGTCTCCCTGCCCCTCTTTTGGGGGGGTGTCTCAGTGTTACTGAACAGGATGGGATTTTCTTTTCCCTGGCCTTTATAGAGGTGACAGACGTATCACAAATGGTGTGACACAGTGTGGTGCTGTGAATCTGCGGCCCTTTGTATGATAATAGCTGAAATTCATATTTATTGATTGAGGAGCCCCTGCTGTTGAACACAAGGTAGCATTTGGTGCTGGTCATACACAGGAAAGAGTAGCAGTCTTACTTGAACAAAGACATAATAGAGGATTGGTGACATGGAAAGGTTGAAACTTTGAAATTTCACTGCTTTAGGCCTTACTTGACAGGTGAAATAAATTTCTAAAGGTTACTGCTGAGTTTTGATAACTTTTTCAACCAGAAGCACTGTAGGAGACCTCTCCCTCCAATATCTTGCTGGCCACTGACTTAACACTGGCTGCACTTTTCTTGTCTTCTGTTTCACAAACTCTTCTTTGCCTCAGATCATTGAAGAAATCCCTTTAAAAGAAAGAAAAAAGAAAGAAAGAGTGGGGCAGTTATTCAGGGTGAATTTCACCCTGACACATTAGACATCTCTGTGATGAGGCTGGCATCTCACGGTGAGGCATCAGAGTTGAGTCCTAGTGATGAAGCATCTTCACTCCTGCAAGGAAATAAATGGAGGTGAGTAGTAGAGAAATCAGGTATTGGTCTTTGTTCCCAGGTCACTCAGTGGCTAATCTCTCCCAGGCTGAGGATGCTGTGCAACATGGCGCTACCTTCATCACTCACCTCTTCAATGCCATGTTGCCGGTGAGTAGCTGGAGACACTTGCCCAGCACTGTTATTGCTTCTGGTGCTTTCATCTCCTGCATATAAAATATGCATGGATGCATATTTTCCCCAGGTTGTTTTGTACCAAGTCTTGCAGTGAGGTTTCAGCACTGAACCTCTGGCTTCACGTTTCTACAGTCTGATCTAAAAGACTTGAGATTGGAGGAAATGTTCAGATTTGCCTCGTAAAGGACAGAGCATTTAGCTGCCAGGCACTGTTTAATAGAGATGGCAGCTGCATCCCCTGCCATGAGTCCTGGTGGTGCTCCACAGCTTGTCCTCTCTCCCTTTGGGCAGTTCCACCATCGTGACCCTGGGATTGTGGGGCTGCTGACAAGTGACAAGATCCCATCTGGGCAGAGGGTCTTCTATGGCATGATTTCTGACGGCATCCACACCAACCCTGCTGCCCTGCGAATTGCCCACCGAGCCCACCCCAAAGGTGAGCCATGATGGGCCCACGCAGTGACACCAGCCATTGCCCACAAAACACACGAGTTCTGTGGTGTGCTGCCCTTGCTGCCTGACATACCACAGCCACAGGGGCTGACCCACTAGCCCTTTTGCTTTGGTTGCATGTGGCTAGAGGCATCTTGGCCCCTCTTTGGGAGGGCTGGTGAGGTGCAGTGCTCAGAGCTCAGTAAGATGAGCTGCAAAGCTAAGGCAGCCCCTTTTCTTGCGTCCCTCAGGCCTGGTGCTGGTGACAGATGCGATTGCTGGCATGGGGCTGGCACCAGGTCGGCACACACTGGGGCAGCAGGTGGTGGAGATTGATGGGCTGAACACCTACATTGCAGGTAAGTGTTTCTTGCTAAAGAGCCAAGGACAGTGCTGGCAGTCATGCCTGTTCCTGGAGAGCTCAGCACACCTTGCAGTGCCTGTCAGAGCAGGGCAGCACTTGTGCCACCCTCTTGGGTTTTGGTGCCTGATGGCTCTGCAGGGACTTGGCCCTGGAGGGAATGAGACATCTCATAAAGAGGGGAAGTACCCCATCTTCGTGGGGTGAGGAGGAATCTTGCAGTTCGTAGCTGTCTGCAACACCTTTGAACACTGTCATGGATGCCAGAGGTTCCAGTGGGATCAGAAAGGACAGAGAAATCCTACACATACTTATTGTCCCTTGTCTACTGTAATACGACCACTGTTGCTAAGTTCCCTAAGCTGCAAGCAGTTGGAAACGGGGAAGGTATTTCAGGAAGGATCATTCTCAGTGTCCTTCTGCTGTCTCTGGCAGCAGATGCCTGTGTTGTATGCTAGTTTCACCCGGTCCAGCTGGTCTAACACTGGAGCTGTGGGGGGACATCCCAGTACCTCTCCCTGCACTGCCAGCACGTGTCCTCTCTTGCTGCCTTCTGTCACTGGGCAGCAATGGCTGAAGGCCCTTCGACTTGCTTCCTGTGCAGTCCAGGATTTCTACCCCTTCTGGTCATGTTTTACTTTCTAGCCACTCCACTTCTCCTTGCTATGAGTTTTGGGACCTGCTCAGCACTATCCTGTTCCTCTCCCAGGCACAAAGACCCTGAGTGGCAGCGTGGCGACCATGGACACGTGTGTGCGGCACTTTCAAGAAGCCACAGGTAAGTAAGTGTTGTCCACAAGCTACTGCTCCCTACCTTGACATGGGAAGAGGTCTCTCTTGCCAGCTGTGTCCGCTCCACCAGGCAATGTTCCCTCTCACCTGAGACATGATGAGAAGGGCTGGGATCAGCAGCACTGGCCTCGGATGAGCACCTTTTTTTGGTGAGGGTTCATTTTAACCCATAGCACTGTTGAGAGGTGAACCCTCCTGTGCTTTTCTCCCCTTCCCATTCCCTAGATGTTCAGTTCTCCTCTTCCTTCTATCTCCCATAGGGATGTTTCCCCTCCCGAGCTCTATCCGCTGTGGTCAGGGTGTTCCAGGTCAGGTCCCTGCCAGGCTGACAGTTTCCTTAGCTGTGGGGGTTCAGGCTGCTGTAGCAACAGGGCTGTTTGCTGCCCTAATGTCTCCCCCTTCTCTGTCCAAGGGTGCTCATTAGAGATCGCGTTGGAGGCAGCGTCTCTGCATCCTGCCCAGCTGCTGGGGATTGAACACAAAAAAGGGACACTAAATTATGACTCCGATGCAGGTACTGGTGTGGGGACTGGAGATACTGGTATAGGGACAACAGTGTGAGGGCTCCTGGCTGCTGGGGCTGCTGCAAACACATCTTCAACCCCTGCTTCAATGGGGGCTGCAGGGAGACTTGCTCCACCTGGGATTTGCTCTGGGCTTTTGCTCCAGGGGTGTTTCCCTTGGTTGCTGGTTGTTTTGTGAGCCCTTCGGTGAGACCCCATTTCTCAGCCAACATGAAGCAGAGCTGCCATAGCAAGGATGGCACCATGCCGCTGTCCTGCTGCCGTTTGTGGGGTGGGGGGAGTCTCTTCCCTGCTGAGCCAGCTGTTCCCAGCCAGCTTCAGCTGCTTGCTTTCTCTCTCACCCGATGCAGATTTCCTGATGCTGAATGACGATCTGTATGTGCAAGCCACGTACATCGCAGGCGAGGAAGTCTGGAGACAGGATGCATTGGGCATGTGACGCTGGGCTGTCCCAGTGCCCTCCAGGCTCCCTGGCACTGTGGTAGCAGCTGGGGCAACCACCCCACTTCTCTCTTTTCTTTTGTTTTTTTTTAATTCCTTCCTGCAGTTCCCTTAAAGGAGCCTCATACCAAAGAGCTGCATTTTCCAGCGCAGCCGCTGCTTCCAGTTACAGCCATGCCTGCACCACATATGTTGGTGCTTGGTTGGTGGTGTGGGGAGAGCAGGCAGATCTGTGCGGGGGGTGCTGCCAGGCCCTGGAGTGACCTGAAGGCCTGCACAGTTGTCTTGCGTGGTGTCCCTAGATAGAGGTGCGCCTGTCACCATCTCGTAGCAATGTGAAGCTGTCCCAGCCTTTGCACTGTTTTATAGAGCACACACTAACCTGCCCTTGTGCCCGAGGCAGGCTCAAGCCATTTCCATTTCCCTGCCTGCTCTTTGCCTTGCTTCTGGGCAGCCATGGCTGGTTAGACATCAGCTTCCACCATCTCAGCTCTCAGCTCTTCACATTAAAAGGTTCCTGTTGTGTCAACAGAAGTTGAGGATCCCATTCTGTTCCCCCGGCAGTCCCTCTGCCGTGTATCCTCAGAGCAAGGCTGTCACAGCTTGCTGACTTGGTGCTGTTGTGGGGCTGTGAATCCATGTGGGCTGAATCCTCAGGACAGAGGTCAAACCAAGGAAAAATGAATCATTGCTGGTCCTTTGTGCCTTTCCCCTTCATGGGCACTGAGTTCATAGCGCGTGATTTCAGCTGGAGACATGAACAGCATCCTGCCACAGAGGCAATGTTCCTCTTAACCCCTTGTTCCTGATAGATGGGTTCTGCAGGGTCTGTGCTCAGCCCCTGATGGGGTTGTGAATCCTCAGGTCACAGACAGGAAGTTTTGGTTTAGGGGATGCATCCAGATTGATGCTGACAGGCACACAAGCTCTCAGTCCAGCTAAGCGACAGAAAGAAAGAGAACTACACTCAGATTATGCCATTTCAAGGCAGCTTGTGATAGCTCATTATTCCCATATTATCATCATCTCTGGTGTCTGGCTGTCAGCTCTTTTCCTGACACTTGGCCACTTCTGTGTGAAGGCTGTTTTTGATTTCAAACCTACCACAGTCAGAACAGCCTTGTGATAGTTCTTGGACAACCCCTGGACAAGTCTCAGACCAATTAGATGGGTTTTGTATGAGGGGAGGGCTTAGACAAGGGCTAAGTCTTATCAGGAGTGGAGGCTGTAAGGCAAGGCAGGAGCCCCGGTCAGGATGGGCAGAAGTGTGCTCTTTTTTTTCCAATAAATTTTTGCAGCCTTTAACAACAACATTTGGAAGTACTTTCCTCACACTTACAGCCTTGCTGGAATAACTGGCAGCCTTGGAGAATTTCTAACATCAACTGCCAATGTCAGCAGAAATTATAACCTCCATGATGTGAAACATTTGAAAGAAACATCAAATACTGTGCTAGGAAACATGACCTGCTGCAGCATTACATATCCCCATGAGGGCATTTTGGGCTGCTGTTGGAAAAAAATCCAAGGGGAAAAAAATGCATATGAAACAACGTGTCTAATTTTTTTCATTATTATTTACAAAATTAAGCAATTGAAATCTAAAATAGAAATGGAATTAGACAACATCTGTACCTATCTGTTTATTGCCCTCTTTTGATCTGCTGAAGGTATGGTGTACCCTGTGTTGTATGGTGGTGTGTCAGGGTGGGGTGGGTGCTGCTGTCCCAGGGCCTCTGCACCTGGGTGGGGATGCTGCTGAAGTGGCTGTGGGATTTGGACCATGGAGGGAGGCCACAGCTGAACAGCGGTGTCCTGGCACTGGAAATGCATCATGGAATGGTTTGGGTGGGAAGGCATCTTGAAGCTCATCCAGTTCCAACCCCGTGCCACGGCAGGGACACCTTCCACTAGACCAGGTTGCTCCAAGCCCCGTCTACCCGGCCCAGCAGCTCCGCGTGGGGTTCAAGAGGCAGGAGGCCAGCTGGGGGCACAGATGCAACACCGAGGCTGGAGCTCGGCTCATCCGGTCCCCAGCCGCTCCGCGCCTCGTCACCTCTGGCCTGTCTCCAGCCAGTCCCGCGATGCAGGCCCCGCCGTGGGCTACCACCGGGCTTCCTCTGCCCTCGGCGGGGCCTGTCCATTTCCCTACTGGCGGGTCCGTGCCGCGGACCGGGCCCTGGCTGAGAAGGGCGCCGTTTTCGCCTGGGCGAGATTGCGGAACGAATGCGCGGGGACGAAGGAGCGGGCGGATCACAGCGAGGGGCGGTGTTCGGGCGGTGCACGGCGGACTGTCTTTTCGCGCCTTCACCCGCGGCCCTCGGCGGCTGCCTCAGGGCTGGGCCCCAGTCCTTGGTGCTGGGCCCTGCCAGGGTGAAGCCCGACCCTGGGAGCCCACATGCTGGGAGCTGGCCCGGAACCTCCAGCATGGAGCAGGTAAAGGCTTTGCTTGTCCCAGCTCCCTCAGGCACGTCTTGCCCCGGTGCTTCCGGGGTCCAGGCTCTGCTCCGGCCGCGGCTCTGCCCACAGCTCCCGGGGGCTCTGTAAAGCGCTTTCCGTGGCACTTGTGCTGCCTTTCCCAGTTCCTGATCACCTCCGTATCCCCCTAAGGCAGGATTGTTAATTCACCTCCTAATGCGCCGTAAGGTGTATCTTGTTCACAGGCGGGCTTCTTTGATTAGTAGGAGGCAGAAGGGGTGTAAATACAACAGTCTGGAGGATTTGTGTTCAGCATAAAGATAAATTCTGTGTATTGTCAGCGCTGTGCTGGTGGGAATTTTATACTGCATTCTCTCCTTTTCCTTTATTCTTTCCCATATTCCCATCTAATGGCTTGTTGTTCAGTTCTGCTACAGTTCTGCTTTTGTTCTACAGACGTAATGAAATTATGCCATAGAATAAGCTTCACGAAAAATGAGAAGTCTTTCACTGGGGCCTTTAAAAAGGGTAGAGTGGGGAAACAACCAACCAAACACCCCTAAAACCAATAAAATAATCAGGAAGCCCTGGTTTGCCATGAGGGGCTGGTTTACTGCTAGTTAGAGTTTGTTGTCTCTAATTTTTGAGATAAAGAGGGCTCATTTGGTGCCCTCTAAATAGGGAGAATTGTAGGGCATTTGTCCCACCCTGTGCTGTGTTGATTTATGGTATAAATTGAAATGTGACATGACACACTTCAATCATAACGCCAGAAAAGGGGTTAATGACTCATTAGTTTGATCTCCTATAAGATGGGAGAGGAAAAACTCCATTTTGGAATCAGTTTTGCAAGCGAGAGATTTGTGCTTCTTTTAAACACTGTGCCTTCCCATGTCCAAGGGTCCCCAGGGCACTTTCCAAGAGAAGCTGCAGTGCTGCATTTCACAGCTGGAGGCAAATCTTCGCCTCAGCCCAACTCCCAAACAAGGTATGTTGCCACCTTCACAGTCCACAGCCATATTCCATCCTCTGACCTGGGTGCTTTTCTGTTTCTACTGTTTCCTGTTCTTGTGTTATATGGGATTTATTCTAAATGCAAAACAATATAAAGCATTGAACTTAAGATTTGTCTGTCTGGAAGCAGCTTTTATTCCTGTGACTTTAATCTCTGTTTTATTTATTCTTTCTCATGTTCCCTTCTAATGGTTCATTGTTTGGCTCTGCTAAAGCTCTGCTTTTGTTTTCTGATTGCAGTGAAATACTGTGTCACTGCATCTGGCCCTTAAGCACCAGCAGGTTTATTTCTGTGAAGCTTGTTCCTCACTGTTCATGTTCCAAAGACAAATTACACAAAAGATAAAATCCTATTAAATCATTTTCAGCAGAAGTTACATCTGGTCAGTCCAACGTGTAAATGTATGAAGGAAGGCATATATCCTGCTTCTGCCAATGTCTGGTAGTTAACATTTAGAGGAGTGGTGTGACTACCCTTTGTAAGGTGCCAAGGTGAGTGTTTGCTGGGGCACCCGAGGTTATAGCAGTGATGAATTTATGCCCACACACCAGGCTCGACCATCGGACCATTTTGTTACACCTGTGTCTTGTGCTTGGTACCTAGTGTCCAGCAGCAGAGGGGAAGGCTGAAACTTTTTCTAGCTCTTTCTTTGTAGCAGCTCTTAATAGTGAGCAGGCCTTGAATACAACCAGTCAAACGCCTTGAAAGTAGGGGGAAATATGTACTCAGGGCCTTGACACCCACTTTTAGTGGGCAGCTGCAGACCTGCTGTGGCACTTATGCCTGTGTGTCATTGCTCTTTCTGTAGCATGGGACTAACTGTTGAGTCTGGAAGATACACCTCATTTGGAGAGTTCTAGAGAGGTGCACTGCAGCCAGGGCAGATGGGGGGGGGGTGTCCATTCCAAAATACTAGTTGAAGTACATTAAGCTTTTTTGTGGCTTGAAATGTGTGAGACAAGCACTAGAAGACTCTGCATATCTGGAGTTCTGAAAACAAAGTGTGTTGGGAGCAACTATTCCTTTTAGAGAATTACTCTGTCTCACAGAATTGGGATTACTGTTGTGGTCAGAGTGGTTCATCTGGGAGTCAAGCAAGAGTCCTCCTTTTCAGGGTGTTCTCTATACTCAGATTTTTCCCAGTTTTCCAGAGAAGAGACACCAAGCTAGGCTCTTGGATTTGTCAGTGGCTTTGGGGGAAGGGTTGTTGAACCCTGTGTAGCTTCTATGCCATTGGTGGCACACCTTCTGCAGTTTAAGATTCTTGCTGTATATAATAAGCAGTTAAAATCTACTTATTTACACACACACACACCCCCTTTAAGAACATTTCATGGTATTCCAACTTCTAGAAGCACTTGGAGTTTTCTTTCAATTGAAGGCCAGTCATGGATTAGTCAGAAGTGGAATGAATACGACACATTCAAAGGAGACCCAGTCATCAGCATCCCACAGTGTGGTGTGTAAGGCCCACTGTAACTTGCCTCTTGTCTCTCTTGGTCTTTTTCTTGAGTGCAGCAGAGGAGACCCAGTGCATTCTCAAGGTCCTGTGCTCCCATGACACCCCTTTTGTGAATAAGCAAGAAGTGATGAACCACATGTTTGAGGATAATCACCTCAAGATGGCTGACGATCAGATGTGCATGGACAAAGCAGGTGAGCTTCAACTGTCAAGGGTGATGGTGACATTTGGTTCTTTCCTGTTGATTTCTTACACTGCAGCTTATGACTGGATTGTCTCTCTGTGGCAGTGTCTTACAGAGGGAGTTGCAGTAGCAGTGGCATCCACACAGTAGGAAACTGGCAAGTTGATAGAAACGTTATGCTTTCTTTCCTAGTCATGAAACCTGGTGATGTGGAAATACAGCAGAGCAGTGGGCAGACTTCAGATGGTGTGCATGGGGAGCGATGTGACCAAATCTCCAAGGCAAAGCCAAAGTGGTTTATGTCACCTGACAACAGCTTCCGATTTGATTTTACACTTTCTGACAGTGACCCAGAAGCAACTGGCACACCTTTGGAAACAGTCTCTGATGTCAGTGATGATGAGCAGATACAAACCAGTGTTGGAGCCACTGAGCAGGAGAATGAAGCCTTGAGTTTTGCTGCCTCTGGACAAGAACCCAAGTTTGCTTTCAACTTCGCCATCGCAGATGAAGACTGTCCTCTGACTCAGTTAGTACCAGGAAGCCAACAGACAGACTGTACAGCAGATCATGAGGTGCTGGGTAATTCTCTGCTTGCTGAATCAGGAAGTATGCCACAGATTGCAGCCTTGCAGAAGCCTGAATTGGCTCAAACTACAGGTAGTTCACCAAAAGAGGATAGAAGCCATGTCACATTAAAGATCCCCCAATCAGAGACTGCTCCTGGAGATGAGACAGTGGCAGAGAAATCAGCAGATGGAACTGCAAAGAAGAAAAAGAAGAAACAAAAAACATCTGTCAGTAAAAAGGATATAAAAGAAACTGAGATCAACAGGAAGGCAAGGGCAGAAGCCAGCAGATGTCAAAATGCAGGTACTTCCCACCAGGATGAGACCTCTCAGGTATTTAAATATTGATAGGATCCTGTAATTTATAAATCCTTGAGCAAAGGAGAAGCTTCATGTCTTTGCATATTTAACAGTGTAGTGGCTTGAGAGAAAACCTGACAGACCAGGGTTGCTGCTTATTTCTTACAGCAGCTGTTTTCTTTCTCTGCTAGACAGCTGAAGAACCTGATTAGTTGAGAAGAAGTTAATGGTCCTTCGTTGTCTGCTTCAGGCTTGTGCTGAAACATTTAATGTTTAAACTTCTGATGGCTAATCCTAGTAAGCTGGGTGCCACAGTTTCTTAAAAAAAATAGATGCAGCTCTCCTCAGTCAGAGCTAAGCTGGTATCTGTGCATGCTGAACCAGGCACTATACCCTGATTGGCATGTTACTGGGTACGGTGAATTGCCCACATAACACAAATAGCAAATCTGAAGTGCAGAGCTGTTGCCTGGTATAGCAGCAGCTATGGCAGGGTCTGGTGTGAAGCTTAAAGGTACTTCTGAGAAGATTCTTGGTGTAAGGCATGGCCAAAAATACACTGAAGTTGTACATTATGTGTAAACACACCATTAAGGCACACCCCGAGGTTTTCTGGTGTTCTGCTAAGGTCCAGATCTTCACTTCATTCTTCTTTCCAGCACTGGTATAGTTATTATTAACAGACAATGCCAGCTAAGTGATATTGAAATACAGGATTGCAAAACACTTGGTTACATTAACATTTTACACAGAAATTGCACTGAGTGGTTACCTGCCTCTTCAGGCATTCCATCCAAAATGCTGCTTCCACAGCTACCCTACCAATAAACACAGCTGAGTACCGGGAGGGTAGGAAGGTGATGGAAAGATGGAAAGGTGATTTAAAACTCCTTCAGCCCATTGGAATGACACTGTTATAAGGAAGAGGAGACAGTGTGAATGCTTTTGTGTTTACATGTACATAACAGTTAAGAATTGCTTCAGCCCCAGAGTGCTGCTCTCATTCCTTCTCCCTGCCACTGCTCAGTTAGCCAGCTGGCTTTGCTCAATGGGACTTAGCTTCTTTCATCTTCATGGGCGTCAGCCTCCTTCTCATGCATTTCTGGTTGTGCAGGCAACCAGAGCTTGATGTTTCAGGAGCTGAAACACTAAGACTCAGTTTCTAATTTGACCATTGTTTGCTTTTTGGATTACGGGCAGGTTTGGGGCAACTTTATTTTTTTTTTTTTGTTAATGCTTATTCCTCCCACCTGTAAGTTGACTTGACAGCTTCTTTCAGAGGCCTGGAAAGCTTTCCAGAAAATAGCATTCTGATGATGCATCTAAATGACAGCCAAATATTAAATCCATGAAATAGAAGCAGTAAGTTGCAACTAAACATTTGTCCAGTGCTTTAAGTTTGTCCAATGAAAAACACTACAGGGGAAAGTCATGAAGTTTGTGAAGTGATAACCAGAACATGAAACTTGGAATAGTCCTGCCTCTATGCAGATGCTTTTTTCCTGTGTAGCACCTGCTGCTCTAATTTTTGGATGTCATGCTCACTCTGCTTCATGTTGCATAGCAGTCTAGGGACCAGCTGTGGAAGGAGGTGGACTGGTGTGTGGAACAGCTGGAACTTGGCCTGAAGACACAGAAATCTACTCCAAAGCAGGGTAAGCATTCCAGTGAATAAGAGATCTCCCCTGTGGGAAGGGCTGGCAGGCATGTTGGAGCATAGAGCCACCTGGGGTCTTAAACTGTGCCTTGTTTCTCCTTTGGGTGCTTCAGTTGATGAGGCTCTCCGTGCAATCAAGACATTGCGCAGTGACAAGGCTCCACTGGTGAAGAAGCGTCAACTCATGAGAGCCATGTTTGGAAACTACAGGAAGAAGATGGAGGAGGAGCTGTGCAAAGAGCTGAAGCTCATGGAAGCAGGTAAGAGAACTTTGCATGATGGGGGAAGAGAAAATGAAAGTGCTTTGCTTTTCATATTGCTTTACAGAGTGAGACCTTGCTATACGAGATTAGTAAACGTCTTTCATTGCTCTTTGCTCCCCTCCTTGAGCTGTGAAATCTGCCAGAGTTGTGAAAGTGAAGAGAAACATCTGCAAGAAGAAAGGCCAGTTCATCCGGAAGTGCTCAGAAGCTTGCAGGAAAAGCCAAGATTCAGCAGGATGCCTTTCAGAGTCACCTAGGACACTTAACACAGGCCCGTTCAAATTCACACCTTCCCAAGAAGAGTTTCGCTTTAATTTCTTGTAGGAAAGTCTAAAACTGTGGCTGAAACCTTTGCCATATATCCTATAAACCTAAGAATAGTGGAAAGATGCTGTGCAGTAGGAAATGTTACCCAAAAAACTGTCTTTTCTAAAGTAAGGTTTGTCTTTCAGAAGAAGGTTAAGTTTCTGTGAAGATTCAGCACAGAAGCATCCAACTATAATGGCTGGTTGGATGCTTCCACTCCGTGTGAGTCAATGCAGCGTCTGGTACGCAGAAAGCCCTGGGCAGTGTGTGTCAGCACTGCCACCTAGAGTAGGAGTTCAGGGTCTTGGAGGAAAATGAGTGAGAATTCTTGCTCATTCATCTATTCAGTTGAACAGGTATAGACTTCAAAGACAATTGCAAATGCTGCTTTAATCTAGCTTAGGGATGGAAGGACAGTTGTTTCCAGACAGGGATGGATTTTTGTTGCTGAAGCCAGATACTGGCCAGCTGGGAAGGTTGTACAATTGGCTCTTGGAAAACAAGTTTACTGTATAAGTAGCCCGTTTACAATCACCAGTGACTCAGAGGCTGAATCAGCTGCATGCCAAGCTTGGGTGGTGGTGAAATGAACTGAGAAAGCCCACTGACTCTTCTGCGTTGGATATGTATTAAATTTTTGCTACCTGAACAGTTGAATGTGTCTTTCCACACAGTGGAGTTTCAGTGTTTCAATACTACAACCCATCTCCTGTGTTTATGCAGAAAATCTTCCTCTTTAAGCTTAAAAAAGATGAAGGAACAGAAGTCCTTTAAAAGGAAAAATGGTATCAGGTGTCCCTGGGTGCAGTGCTCTCCTTCCTTTTTATAGTCCAGTCATCCTGCCTGAGAGACAAGAAAAGAGAGTGTAGGCAGGTTCCAGGATATACTGGGAGCAGCTGAGATGGTGGAAAACGTTTGCTAGGAAAGGCTTCAAAAAACCTGATGTTGGCTACAAAAAAGAAATAAAATACTAAGCTCTGATACAGTTGGTTCCATCTGTAATATTTTTTTGTTTGTTTTAAAGAATGCTTGTCTAGCATAAGGAGAAACTGAACCTGGGTAACATACCTGATGAGGAAAAATATACAGAGAAAACTTTTAAGTCTTCTGGAAATCAGTAGGTGAGCAAATTAATTCTTTTGCTTGCCAAGGAGCACTGCTGGGACTTTGACTGTATGGAACAACACTATACTGTGGTGTGTTTTTTTATTTCCAGGGCCTTATATTACGCATGCAGAAGCTGTGTCATAAAACTTTGTGTTTTCATGCCATTTAGTAAGATTAAAAACAATCTTGTACATGACTTGGATCTACAGTTGTCTTCTTTTCCAGCTGATTATGAAGCATAAGTCTGGAAAAGCAGGTATCTTGTTCCTACCTTGTTTCAGGTCAATCATTCTCAGATCTGGGAATTAAGTTTGCACTTTCTAGAAGTGTACAGTCCTTAGGATGGAGGAAAAGCAAAGGAGGCTCCTTTCTCCAGGCTTGGCCTAGTTGAGCACACAGAGTAATCTGTAGTGGCAATATACAGGCTGACCAGGTACATCTAGTACAGGATAATTATTTCCATATGAAGAATCCCAAGGTCATTATTCATATAAATTCCCATGGAGGTCAGTTGAGCAAAAATTTGAGGCATTCCCCCCAAATACAGAATACATAAAGAGTATTTACAGTAAATTGCAAATATAATCAAAGCTGGATGATACACTTTGGAATCACTCTCTTACTAGCCATACTGATCTTATTCCCCTGTTTTTTTTTTCCCTCTACTTGGATCAGTTGCAAGTCAGCTAGCTGGGAAATCCTTTCAGGCAGGAAACTGCACAGCTAGTGTTGGTAAAATGTTTAACATCCTGTGCAATGGAAGGCTGCAGGAGTATTCTGGGAAGCATTCTTAGATAATTGCCTTGTGATTATAGTATTTGTTAGGCTTTTACAACTAGAATAAAGAAACTGGTGGGGTGGACATTTGATGTAACCTAATCCAGCTGGTGTGTCTCCAGAGAGATCAGAGAAAAAAGCATTCTAACACATGAATGGCTCCTGTGGCTTTTCAGAGGTCTTCACAAGATGCTAACCAGCCAGACCATATTCCTTTTGCAGTGCTTCATTACTAGGGGACCTGGAAGGCAAGTGTTAACCGAGGCAATGCTTCATAGCCCTGAGTGCACCTGTGTGCAGTACCAGAGCCTGCTGGATCAGTTCACGACTGTGTGACCCTGGCCAAGGCATTTTGCCTTTCTGTTTTCATAGTTGAGATGATGCCTCCTGCCTTTATGCCGGACCTGCCCAAGTTATTTCATTAATCATTGTGTCTTGAAGAGGCAACTCTGTAGTATTTTGCATGTGAACTTACATCTGTTGCATTATCATTTGTTTGAAAGGAAGCTGTTATTTGAAGTTACAAAATGCTGTCACTGCTCCATTTGTTTGTTTCCCTTCACAGCAGCTACAATGCAGTCTTAATGACATTAAAAAAACCCCAGTGTTCTCTCCTTTTAGCATTTCTTTCTTTCAGATTTCAATGTTGGCTATGATTTCAGTGATGTCTCTTATTACAGCACTGTCAGGTTTGGGTCAGGGCTTTGCTCTATGAGTTACTGTAATATGTGTGGCTGGAGGTATGATCCATGCCTGAAGGCACTGATGGTGTACAGCAGTGAGGGAGAAAGGTGTTCTCATCAGCTTGGAGTGCTCCGTTCCAGTGCTCTTGCATTAAGGAACCATAGCTCGGGTTTGGTAGAAAATTGAGCACAGTTCTGGCTTGCCTCTTTTTCTGCATTTTCTCCTCCATTTTGTGCTGTGCATTTGGCATTGGTACCAAAGGGGTGACTGGATTTGTGGTACAATATCTCTTTGGTGATTGACCAAATAAATGCAGTGCAGCAGTGCCATGCCCAGGCTTGTAGGCAGCAAACTGCTTGCAAGAGCTTCCAGCATGGTTGTGATAACAGCAAGCTGGGTGGGAGTGCTGATCTTCTGGAGGATAGGGAGGCTCTTCAGAGGGATCTGGACAGGCTGGATCGATGGACTGTGGCCAATGGGATGAGGTTCAACAAGGCAAAGTGCCATTTCTTGTGCTTGGGACACAACAACTCCATGCAATGCTGCAGGCTTGGGGAAGAGGGGCTGGAAAGCTGCCCATGGAAAAGGACCTGGGGGTGCTGACTGACCGAGCTGAACATGAACAGCTTATGCCCAGGCAGCCAAGAAGGCCAACAGCATCCTGGCCTGTGTCAGCAATAGTGTTGCCAGCAGGACCAGGGCAGTGACTGTCCCCTAGTACTGGACACTGGTGAAACTGCACCTCGAATCCTGTGTTCAGTTCTGGGCCCCTCAGTACAAGAGAGAATTGAGGTGCTGGAGTGGGTCCAGAGAAGGGCAACAAAGCTGGTGAAGGGTCTGGAGCACAAGTGTGATGAGGAACAGCTGAGGGAACTGGGGGGTTTAGTTTGAAGAAGAGAAGGCTCAGGGGGGACCTTATCGCTCTCTTACAACTGCCTGACAAGAGGATGGAGCCAGGAGATGACTGGTCTCCTCTCCCAAGGAACAAGTGATAGGACAGGAGATGGCCTCAAGCTGTGCCAGAAGAGGTTTAGACTGGATATTAAGAACAGTTTCTTTACTGAGAGGGTGTTCAGGCATTGGAACAGGCTGCCCAGGGCAGTGGTGGAGTCACCGTCTCTGGAAATGTTCACGAACCATGTAGATGAGGCCCTCAGTGACATGGTTTAGTGGTGGCCTTGGCAGTGCTGGAGGAACAGTTGGACTTGATGATCAACCTGATGGATTCTAGGATTCTATGACCTCAGAAATGACTTTAAGGCAGAAAGGGGGTGTGAAGTACAACACTGCCCCTAGAGCAAATCTGGCTCAATTGCATTGGTCTTGAAAAAGCAAAAGCTGAGACTCAACTTCTAAAGTGAATGGGATGGGGGAACAGGGATGTTGTAACTTTTCTCAGACCATCCACTGTAGCAATGCATGGGAGAGGTCCTGATTTTGAGAACAAAGTGAAGAATTTTAGAGTTGTTTCTGTGGTGCGGTGAGCCCAAGAATATTTCTACATAGAGGCAGCAGAAATCTGGGTGTGAGTTCTGCTCTTAGGCTTGGCACCCTCATCTGTAAACAGATCCCCCAGCAAAGGTTAGGAAAGGCAATGCCCTTCCAGGCAGACCCTACCGCGGGGGGGGAGCAGACAGTGGCAGCCCTGCCCGGGTAGCTGCACATCTGTGCTTACGTTTCAGTTGTCAACCTGGATGCTGGGCACCAATTGGTAAGTTCTTTCAACCCCTTCCCTTGGGCTTGGTCTGTGGGAATGCATTTATTCGTCTCTGTGCTGCCTATCTTCTGCTTTAGGTTATGGGGGACCAGAGTCACTGAGAAACAGGCTACAGAGGATCTCCAAGGGATCCCCATGAAGCTCAGCTGAAATTATCTCCGGAGTCCCAGAAGCTGCCTCTATGAGGACTCCCTCTCCCAAGACCAGCAAGGACAGAAGGAGGCCAACAACAGATTGGTCCTACTGAATCCCTAAGTCAGGTGACTAATGTTCCTTTTTGATACTTAAATTGGTTATAAGAGTGCTGAGGGTAGAGTGTGAACTCAGCGTCTAATGACCCCTACAGGATAAAATATTCTGTTCTCTTCCTCTGGGGAGGAAAATCCCAATCCTAACTTCTCTTTTCTTCGAATTAGAAAGAAGAAAAGCTTTGCCACTTCAAGCAAGACAACAGTTTGAATACTGTAACAGAAGGAATGTTCTTTGAAGAGAATAGACATTGAACCTGCAGTTCCTTAAGCAAAAAGAGAGATTCTGCTGTTTTAAGATCATATGGAGCTGTGACAGATGATCTTGTATTTTTCTGCTACTTTACTTCAAGGACAAAGTTTTATTTTCTTTAATTTCTTTCTCTTTTTTTGCTGCTCACTGTTTATGCTGCTGTCCTATTTAGAACTGCAGGAAGGTTTGTAAGCCACACTGCTTTAGAAAACATAGAAAATCAATTACCACAGTGCTTTGATTGCTGGCAACAGTCCTTCCTGTGGATGCTGACGGCTGGGAAGCGCTGAGCACCCACTGTGCCTGGCTCATCTGTCTTCTTCCCTCTGAGTACATCAACAGGGACTACTAGCTTCTTGGTATCTCACCAGACAAGATGGAAGAAGTCTGGGTTGTGTATCTCTGCCTGATCTTGCTTATCATAGTGCTTCTTCTAATGAGGCATAACCCACACGTGGAAGAGGCCAAGAAGGAGAGGGAAAGCAGAAGCCCCCCACCACCCTCCTCCTTTGCTCCCAGTGATGTCGGCAAACAACTGGAACACAGCCAGGAAGAGCTGGAGCACTATCTGGACAGGCTGACCCACGTCTTGTTTGCCACAGAAGCCAGGAAAAGGGATGGCCACCACGATCAAAAGTCCCACCATCACAGAAGTGCTGATGTTATGTCTGAAACTAAGGAGCATTCAGGAAAGGAGGCAGCACATGCTCAGTATCTGTCCAGCTACACTAGGGTTCAGGTATGAGGCTTATAAAAAAATTTTAGACTCAACCAGACTTGGAAGTCCTGGCTGAGGTAGAAATGAAATGCACAGTTCATGAACTTGGATTGGGAGTGGGGGAGGGAAGTCTCACTATATCAAAGGATAATACACTCCTATTTTTCCACTGTGTATTTCAACATTGAGCAATTATCCAGAGACAGCTCTATGTGACATGAGTTGTATGCATGTTATGTATGTAAGATATCAGTGTTGGCATTAGCATCTATGCACATATGTTTATCTATATGTAAGTGTATTATCTTCCTGTATTAATAGAAATAGGCGTCGTTTCTTACTTCAGGAAATCCTTGTGCAGCTCTTCAGCTGCTCTTCAGCAGAGATTTATCTTGACTCTGCCCACAGTTTCCCAGCTCAAGGTCTGGTCCAGGAGCTCTGCAGACACTTGTCTAAAGTGAGCGCCTGGTATTGAGCCCTGGAAACACGATGCATTTCTGCTGTGCACCACAGTCATGCACTGTGTACTCTGTAAACATGACAGTCACTATTGTCAGCCTGCAAAATTCTCTTTGCCTTGGCCAAGGCTCATTTTTAGGGGCTGGAACATGATGCATGCCTTTATATTTTTATCGTTATCCTCATTGCAATACATCAGATTTTGCCCTTCAGATGACGGAGGCTCATGGTAGCCATGCGAGGCTATGTTA